GCTTTTAGGTTGGGAAGAACGCGTTCTCGAGTAGCAAGCACTGCTGCTCACAGAACTGCAAAAAAAAACTGCAAGTAGAGAAATTAGGTGACCTATGAGCGATTTCGAATAGTCAGCTCGCCCCCTTTTGGTCAAGCAACAGTACTCGGGGCGTTCGAAGAGTCACCCTGGACAGCCCATCACTGCTGAGATGCAGGAATCAAATAAGTGAAGCACATTCACTGTTCTACCAATCGTCTCAATCGAACAAAAATGAGTATATGCAATTAAAAATAAAAGCAAATAAACTGCGGCACGCACTAGGAGTCCGAAGTGAGCGCATTCGCTTTGACCATCAGACACAGGTTGCCACTAGCAGACTGGTTCAAAGCCGTATTCAGCTCGGTAACGTTTAATCGCTCTGTGAAGCTTATCTCTTCAGTCAATTTCACTACTTTTTCAGGAGTCGAAAATGACAGAAGACCGCAAAATCTGCAAGCCTAGCTTCTTGTTTCATAAGACCATAGCAATCCTCTGTTGTATGCACCCTTCCCTCTATTCCTCCGCACCCTCTTCCCCGATATCTCTGCATGTTCAGTACACCACTTAACCTTTTCGCTCTTCCATTTGACAGCTTTCATCTGTGGAGAGAACTGAGAGGATATCCGCAGCAAGAAAAGTGCAAATTTGTTTTTTATTTACGAGAACTTACAATAACTTCAGGTCCACTGTAGCTACAAAGTTCACTTTAGCATTTCGGGCTGGTTTTACCAGTGTCACGGCATCACGATTCAGTACTTGAAATACCTGGCTTGTTTGATTGCGAGATTGACTAGCCGTACAATAAAAAACAAATTCACCGACAAGTGAAGACATTTAGAATGTACGAAGAAGCTACTGCAGCGGAAAGCAGCGCCGTATTCGTAGAACTGCTCGCGCAAGTGGAACGACGCCATCGCCGCTGGCGCATTGCGACACCGTTGCTTTGCAAAATAATCCATTACTACTTTGATTTATGGTTCGAAATCTATTCTCCTCTGTTTACGTGTGTGTATTTGTATGTGTGTGTCGTTTAGCTTACACAGAAACTGATTCCCTTCAAAATAGCAAATCCTTCGCGTAGACAAAAATTAAAATTTAACCGGAGAGTCAGACGGTTAACTGCTTGACGTTGACATAGTAGAAATTTCGACGGAGGAAACTGCTTTCCCGAACAATGACTGCTAAAACTGGAAGCGAGTGCCTTCCTCTTATTCTGAGTATGTTAAGTTTTTTGTGCCAAACAAGTTCCCA